ACTCCGATAAATTGAATTTCATTCAATGCTGATTTCTTCCATTCTCTTATTATTTTTATTACCACCAAATGAAAACAAGATACCCAACTTTTTTTGGTATTCAAAATGTTGGAATCTGTACATAAGGTTTACATACACCATAATATATTATACATATATATATATCTATATATCATAATATATATCCAATATTCTTGATTTCTAGTCAATGATGAATTTTTTTATATTCTGAATTATTTTTATATATTTATAGCCAATTCTGGAGAATCGTTAAATTTTTTCGTAAATTCTAAAATCTTTTGCAACTTTAGAAAAAATGTTAAATAATATTAAACCCAAAAATTGTCTATTTTTATGATTAATATTTATGATCAATTTCTTTTCCAAAGTTTAGATAAGGAGCTCCTGAGTTGATCTAAGAAATTTATCTTTATGTATTTATATCATGATTCAGATCATGCCATAGTACCTGGTGAAAATCCTGGGAAACCAATTCATTCATAGTGTCCACCCGCGGTGTAGAAATTCTCCTAGATGATAAAGGTTTTTTCTGATATGATTGACAATGACAATAGCTTCTTCGAATAGTTTACATTTTTTTACTCGACGTGTGAAGATTTCCAAATTCAAAATTTCGCGGTTCTCCTTAAGCTGGGGAAAATGAAAATTGAAATTTTCAGGGAACATGTTTCGTTGGCCATCAACATGATTCTTGAATCAATCTTCTCGTTAAAGATCCAATTCATGACGCTAAACGTTCATTTGTCTTTTGAAAATTCTTCAACTAAGAAAAATGAAAATTGGAATTTTCAGGGAACATGTTTCGTTAGCCACCAACATGATTCTTGAATCTTTCGAAAATTCTTCAACTAAGAAAAATGAAAATTGAAATTTTCAGGGAACATGTTTCGTTGGCCACCAACATGATTCTTGAATCAATCTTCTTGTTAAAGATCCAATTCATGACACTAAACGTTCATTTGTCTTCCGAAAATTCTATTCCCTATCGACTATACATTCGAAACAATCTCGCCTACTTTAATCAAGTAGAAGAACTTTGATTAGCATTAGGGTAACAGAGCAATACGAAATCTATACTCTCGTGTGTTCATACTTCTGTCAAGATGGGACGATATTGACTCGAGACATTTCGTACTTGATTCAAGGAAACAAAAATTGATCGATGACTCGAGGTATCAATATTCATAACTCGTGTCAGGATCATCTTTCTTATTGTTAAGATTTTT